TGGCACTAGGGTTACAAGTGCCTGGCTTTTTACTTAGTGCTGGGGATTCAAACCCAGGTCCTTCTGCTTGCTCCGCAGGCCCTCTTACGCACTGAGTCATCTTCGGAGGCCCAGCATACCCTCATTTGCTTATCTGAGGTAGTCTGTGTTTTCAGGTGCAACTTAATATTTTTTTTCTATTTCTGTTAAAAAAAAAAACAAAACAACTGGAATTTTGATGAGATTGTAATGAATCTGTAGATTGCTTTTGGTAAGACAGACATTTGCACGGTGTTAATTCTCCCAATCTGTGTGTCCTCTGGCCACACAGATTGCTCCTTTGGAGCAGTCGGGCACTCTTCAGGTCACTAACTGCTGTTGTGTGTTTGATTTCTCTAGAAGACCTCCCCTGCCTCAGAATGGGACCCTGGCTCCTACCCCGTTTCCTGTGAGCCACCCAGTGACAGCTTTCTGTGGGGATGCCTGGGAACCAGCAGAAACCAGAGTCTTTGGAGATGGACTCAGACATGTCGCCAAGCGGCAGATTCAGTGACTTGAGCAGAGGCAGCAGTCTGGAGAGCCGGAGCAGCAGCTCTCGGTCCAGAAGCTTCACTTTGGTGAGTGGTTGCCTTCTTCAAAACTCTTAGATGCTTTGGTTGGTTGATTTGGCCTCAGCCCTTCACCCCTTTGAGGAACAGCTTACAAAGCCCTGTTGAATGTCTTGGAATACTTCTCTGTGAACTGGCATTTTCTTTTTAATCATATTAAATTTTGCACGTGGCAGCAGAGCAAATCTCTGGTCACAGATAATAACTCAAGGCTGTTTATCTCCAGAAAGGACCATGCTTACAATCACTGACAACCCCAGCATGGGGGGGTGGGGGGAGCCATCCCACAGGGTAAAGATAGCTCACTTTCAGGCAGACTCCAAGGCCTTTACAAAGCCCAGTCTCTCTGATCCAGACCCTTACACAGAGCTAACCAACCTGAGAACTTTAGGTCTTTTGAAGGATTTGTTTGTTTTTTCACAGATACTCCCTTTCTATACTCCCAGTCTTGGCATGGCAGACCAGTTGTCCTTAGCCTCTTGACTCAGGGGGCACAGTGGTCATACCATTTCATAAAAACATCCTGTGTCCACTCCAGGAACAGAACCACATTCACAGTTTTGAGTTCTTATTCTTTTTTTTTTCTCCCTGAGACAGAGTTTCTCTGTATAGCCTTGGCTGTCCTGGAACTCACTTGAGTTCTTATTCTTCATGTGTTCCTGAAGCCTAATCTACCCAAGGGCACATTGGAGCATCCTCTAGAAAATAATGGGATTTTGGATTGTTGGAAAGAAGAGAGAGGTCTTCATAGGGTTAATTCCTAAGGAATTTAACCCTAATCTGTGCCCACTCTCTGAGGATTGGGGGCACCCCACAATGCTCCCTAATCATTTTCATCTATGATTTGGGCAAAAACAGTGATCCAAATTCTTTGGCAAGGTTTTAAGACTTAATACAGAGTGAACTCTCGTGAATCCCACCCCCACCCAAGCTCCCAAAGCTAATGGACTCTGTGTCCTAGAGTCACAGAACGTCTATGATTAGACGGCATTGCCAGCTCATGAGCTACCCACTTGCACACCCCTTGGTCCCAGAGTGAGGATGGAGGACTGTTGAGCTGTGGGAACTGCCCTTCTCCTGGTGAGGCCCAAATGCACACAGTGCCCTAGGATTTTCATAAGCCATTTGCTCTGTAAGTTCAAGAGGAAGAAGAAGAAAATATGCAGTCTGGTGGGTAAGTGACCCGGGGCTGGCTTCTTCCCCACACCAGACCAGAAACCATTTGAGGACATAGCCAAAGAACTTCTGTTTAACCCATTAGATTAAACTGAATAAAACATGCTTTTTTATTCAAGACCGCATCGAGACGCGGATAGAGCTTGGGCGGGTGGCACAGTTTATGAGGCTCCCCGAACATCAGACAGATGAGAGATCAAGGGCTCCATGGCCAGTGTAAAGAACTGTAAAGCCGCCACCACCGCCGCCGAGCCCGGCTGTGAGCCTTTGAAGCCATTCTCCTGCAGTTCTATAATCAAAACTGTACACAGACCTCATTCTCTGCTGATTTGTTTGTGTCCCTTTCCTAACTTCAGAAGCACAGGTTGAAGTCAGCCCCAGCAAAAAAGATGACAACAGTGGCTAGTTAGAAATAAGCATAATTAAGCCCTTGTTCTGCCGTGGGGAAGTGCCATGTGTACTTATGGTGGCTCGGCCCGGGTTGCCAGAGACAGCACAGCATTGAAGCTGTGAGTCTTCTCCCTGCCTTTATTCCATTTTGGCATCAACTTGCATAATTAAATCAGTAAAGCATTGCTCAAATGTCAGGCAGGTCTTTGTTGTCTTTGAGAACATGTGATCTGGCTGGAGAGATGGCTCAGCAATTGAGAGCACTGGCTGCTCTTCCGGAGGGCCTGGGTTCCGTTCCCAGCACCCACATGGATGCTCACAGCTATCTGTAACTCCAGTTCTAGGGGATCCGATACCCTCTTCTGACCTCCCAGGCACTAGGCATGTGGTATGCCTATATACATGCAGGTAAAAGACCCATACATATAAAATAAAATTAAATCTTGGAGGAAGAAAAAAAAAAAGAATATGTGATCATTAAATCAGACTCCACCAAGAGAAAATATCCTTGCCTGCCTACCTGGGGGATGAGTAGTGAAGAGTCTTGGTCTCCTTTCAAAATATCTGTTTAGTCACCTTTGCTTGCCTGCCTGCCTGCCTGCCTGCTTGCTTGTGAATGAGTCTTGCTATGCAGCCCAGGCTGGCATGGAAATAACTACATGTAGCCCAAGCTGGTCTCAAACTTTCGACGACCCTCCTATTTCAGCCTGAGTGCGGTAGCACAGGCATGTGCCACCACACCGGGCTCTGGTTGTCCTCATTTTTACAATGTGTACTTTCTTTCCGTTGGTCTTTCTGGTTCCTTGGTGCATTCTTCAGGTTGTAATTCAACTGAATGTTTTTCTTGAAAAACAAAAAGAAAAGGAAAAAGGAAGGCCTAACTTAATTATAGGAGTAAAAGCGAGTAATTTTTAAGGTAGAGGTTATTTTAGAGTGTCTATTTTAAGTCTTCTCAGGTCTTCAGTTCAACCAAAGGTTTGGATTTTTTCCTTTCTCTAGTGTCCTTCCCCCGCCCTCCCACCCCAAACGCTCCTCTTCCCAGCCTGTCCTAACACAGATCTGTACCACTGACTTTGGATTGCTGTCATCCATTCAAAGTTGGCCGTAGGCTGGGCGCTGACTAAGTGGGTCAAGGGCTTGCCGTGCAAGTGTCAGGACCTGAGGTCAAATCCCTAGAGCCTACGTCAAGCCAAGTGCAGTCCTGTGTGTCTGCATTCCCGTCGTTCATGCTGTGTGAGGCAAGGCAGACAGGTCGATCCTTGGAAGGTCAAGGGCCAGCTAGCCTGGTGTGTGCAGCAGTAAACAAGAGAAGACTGACATCCGAGGTTGTCCTCTCATCTCCGACCTCCATAGGACTACCACGGCACGTGCACGCCTGCACGCACACTTGCTTAAGCATGCATACGCGCGCACACACACACACACACACACACACACACACACACCAAAGAAAAGTTTGTCAACTACCTTTAAAAAAATTAGTATATACAGGGGTCAGGTGTGATAGCACACGCCTTTAGTCCCAGTACTCGGGAGGCAGAGTCAGGTGAATCTCTGTGAGTTTGAGGTCAGCCTTGTCTGCCAACTCGACATAAGCAACAGAGTGAAGAGACAACCTTCAAAATCAGGAAAATATTTACAAATTATTCATCTGTGAAGAGGTTGATAGTAACAACACATAAGGAATCAAAAATTCAACAACCAAAACATCCAATTGAAAAATGAGCAGTAGCCCTAAATTGATGTGTGTGGGGGTTGGCATCGCTATGATAAGAAGCAGGAGGGAGTTTCCTTTAAAAATGAAGAATAGATCTGCTCTATAACCCAGCAGTTCAGTATATCAAAGAACATTCTGTGTTTTCATGGCAGTGGTGACAGTATTCACAGTGACTAAGAAATGCAAGAGCCAGGCATGGTGTTCCATGCCTTTGATCCCAGGTCTTGAGGCAGAGGCAGAGAGATCATGCGTTTGAGGCCAACCTGGGTAACGTAGTGAATCCAAACACACACACACACACACACACACACACACACACACACACACACTCACACACACTCACACTCACACACACATACATGACATGGAAACAACCCAAGTGCCTGTCATCCATTTCATGGATAAAGAAAATGTGCTACATTACATAACGGGATGCTTTTCAACCATAAAAAGGATAAAATCCCATCATCTGCAACAACATGCACGGAACTAGATGCAGACCATTGTGTTTAGTAAAATAAGGCAGGCTTGGAAAGCCGAGCACCACGTGATCTCACTCACATAGATCTTGGCGCTGGAGAGATGGCTTAGCAGTTAAGAATACTTGGATCCTGCAGAGGATCCAAGTTCGGTTCCCAGACCCACGTGGCAGCTTACAACCATCTGTAACTCCAGTCCCAAGGGATCCGTCACCTTCTTCTGGCCCCCGTGGGCACCAGCCACGCACATGGTACACAGGCATTCTTGCAGGCAAGACACCCACATACATAAAGTAAAAGAAAAGGAAAAGTTTTTGAAAGAAAGTTAGTCTCACAGAAGTTGCAGACAGAATGGTGGCCACCAGAGGCTGGGGAGGGTTGCGATGGGGAGAGACTGGTCAGGGCTACTAAGCTACAGTCAGCTAGAAACCAGTTCCAGTGTGCTGTTGCCCAGCCGACCACGACAGCAACAATGTGCATTATACTTGCAGAACCTAGAAGAAAAGTTGTGAAAGTTTTCACCACAGTGAAAAATGTTTGGAGAAATGAGTCTCTCTGGCCTAGTTTGGTATTACATGGGACCCCGTTAAAGTACACGATTTTTATGTTTTGTGTGTCAGTTAAACTAAATGGTTTCTCTGTGTACAGAGATCACCGTAGTCGGTTCTAGAGCATTTCATTTCCCCTAAGGAAATCCTATGCCCATTCTCATCACGTTCTAGTCCCTGCTCTACTCCCCTGGCCATAGCCTCCTTTCTGACTTTGGATATGTTTAGCTAACACATCTCTTACTGCCCTACCTCTCCCTCAGGACTAAGAATGTCTTCCTTTTACATCCCTATCAGAGACAGTGTGCAGCCTCTCCCCAGAATGGGAGGAGTAGACAGGAGCCATCTTGGCCTGGTACCAAGTGCCCCTTTTCCAGGCCTGGTGTACCTAGCTGCACTGCCCAGCCTTGCCTTCCTTCCTCTCCTAGGTATTTGGAGTCCAGGTTCACTGGGAGAAAGCTTCAGGTCTTAGAAGTTGGGCAACATGCCGAACCCACAGCATGTTTGACCTTGCCACAATCCAGGACTCCAGGCCAGGCTGACTGCAAAGAAAGCATACCATTCACTCAGGCCCCGCCCTAGAGAGAAAGCCCCCAGGTTGAGAATGCCAGGGTCTGAGTGACCTGAGGGTCTTGTCCTGAGCAGACTGGCCGGAGCTGATCTGTATCTCACATTGTGTAATTAGTGAGAGGAAAAGAGAACACTGAGAGAACCGAAGAAGCCCCAGGTAAATTGCACAAGACTCACGCAGGCATCTCTGTAAGATCTGTCGGCACTTGCTAGAATAGGATTAGAAAGGGCGAAACAGAAGGTGAAGTAGTGTTAAGACCCTTGGGAAGTCATGCCAGGCCTTTCCATAGTGTGCAGGCATGAACAGACACGTGGGAAGCACCTTCCTAAGCCTGTTTTCCAGATGCGGTCTCATGTTGGGACTGCTTGCTTTCAGTTTGGATTAGACATGGCCCATCCTTTTGTTTTTTAATGTCTGTGAGTGTTTACCTGTGTGTGTATGTACACCACATATGTGCTTGGTGCTTGTGGAGGTCAGAAGGAGGAACTGGATCCGCTGGAGCTGGAGCTACAAGTGGCTGTGAGCCACCATTGGGTGCTGGGAACAAAACCCCAGGACCTCTGCAGAAATAAGTGCTCTCAACCGCTGAGCCATCTCTCCATCTCCAGCCCCCTTAGAGTCCATTCTTTTTTTTTTTTTTTTAAGATTTATTTATTTATTATGTATACAGAAGAGGGCACCAGATCTCATTATTGATGGTTGTGAGCCACCATGTGGGTGCTGGGAATTGAACTCAGGACCTCTGGAAGAGCAGTCAGTGCTCTTAACTGCTGAGCCACCTCTCCAGCCCCTTAGAGTCCATTCTTACTTTGTCCTCTTCTTGTGGGAAATCAGGATGTATCTTAAGCTGAAGGTCCATTCTAGAGCCTTATTTTTGAAAACGTTTACCTAAGGTTTATGTTACGTTTATTTTGTAGTACCGAGGATAGAATGCAGGGCCTTGAGCATCCTAGGCAAGCTTTCTATCATTGAGCTTAGACCCACAGCCAGGCTAGTGCAATTTCAGTCCTGCTACACAGCCAAGGAGAATGATTATACCTAACTGAAATAGACTCCAAAAGTTATGCGTTGGGCTGGAGAGATAGATAACTTGTGGTTCAAAGTGCATATTCTTGCAGAGAGGACTGGATGGCTATCACTTCTCAGCACCCACATCAGGTAGCTCACAGCCACCTGTAACTGCAGCTCCAGGGAATCCAGTGTTCTCTTCTGGCCTCCATGGGCACTGCACTCGTGTTCATATGTACCCCCAATACATGTATATACACATAATTAAAAATAAAAATCTTTTAAATGTCATGCATCCGCTGAAGTGCCCTGCATAAAGGTCACAGTAGGGGAGAGAGCATGAACCTGTTTCTCTAGACGCCATGTTTCAGCGGTGGAGGTCAACACTTGGGAATGGCTGTTAGCTCTGTCGTGTCACCCTGACAAAATCCATAACGGGTGAAACTTAACTAGAGGGACCTTTGTTACGCCAAGAGTCCTAATGATTTTAGGCTTGCAGTGCTTGTGTTGAAACAATGAATGAGCTGGGCTTGGTGGAGGAGGCAGAGGAAAGAGGATCTTTGTGAGTTCAAGGCCAGCCTGGTCTATGTAACAAGTTCTAGAACTGGACAGCTACACAGAAAGACCTTATCTCAAAAAAAAGAAAAAAGAAAGAAAGAAAAGAAAAGAAAAAAGAGACAATTATGGGTAGAAAACCAAGAACTGTCACACTGTGACTGAGGGCAGCATGTGTGCAATGTGGGGACCAGGCAGTCCAACAAAAATAAAGTGTGTGGTGAAGAGATGAGGCGGGAAAGCCATACATCGTGACACTCAGATGTCCCCACCAATGTGTGTGTGTGTGGGGGGGGGAGGTATTTTATCTTATTTTATGTGTATAAGTGTTTTGCCTGCATGTATGTCTGTGCACCATCTGCTCTCCTGGAACTAGAGTATGGATGGTTGTGAGGCACCGCGTTGGTGCTAGGAACCAAATCCAGGTCCTCTACAAGAGCAACAAGCGCTCTTGACTACCGAGCTTTCTCTCCTGCCACATACAGACATAGGTACATATATGTATGTGTGTTGTGTGTACACATGGTTTTTCATGATGAAGTGAGTGGTGCTGGATTTCTTAGAAGCTTTTCTAGGCGTCTAAAGGTCAGAACAGACGTACATGGTGAGGAGGGACCTGACATTTTGGTCACAATAACTCCCTGTGGGATGCAAGAAAACCTGCAAGCCTTGATGTAGCCAATGGGATTCTTTAATATATATATTTTATATATATTAAATAAATATTTTATATATATTAAATATTAAAATATATATATATATAACTTTTTTAAATTTATGTTCATTGGTGTTTTGCTCGTATGTGTGTCTGTGTGAGGATGTCAGAAGCTCTGAAGCTGGAGCTACAGACAGGTTGAGCTGCCATGTGGGTCCTGGGAATTGAACCCAGGTCCTCTAGGAGATCAGCCAGTGCTCTTAACCGCTGAGCCATCTCTCCAGCCCCTAGAGTGTGGTTCTCAAGTGTGAGGTCTAACAGAGGGGAAGAGCGTGGGTGTGCAGCAGCTCTAGGGCAAAGGGATGTGACACGAGGAGCCGGTTCTGCTTTTCAAATAACTCACAAACCCGACCCCTCTCCTCCCATGGCCACCTGTAGCTCTCAAGACTGTCTCAAAAACATGGATTGAAATTTCTTTTTTGTTACTTTTTAATTCTTAATTATGTGTATATGGGGGGGGGCATTGTGCACATAAGTACGGTGCCCAATGAGGCCAGAAGAGGGCATCAGAGCTCCTGAGTTGCCCAATATGGGTGCTGGGAACTAAACTCGGGTCCTTGGAAAGAAGAGTGTGTTCCCTTTTCCAGTCAATTACCTCTCCAGCCCCTGGTTGAAATTCTAGTGTGGGAAGTGTTGACTGGCCTCCACCTGTAAATTAATACTGCTGAAGACTGGAAGAATCCTTTCTGGGTTCTCAAACCCTTTTTTTCCCCTGCCAAAGGCTCTTACAGTGCTCTGTCTCCAGGGAATCCATTTGGCTTCATTTCGCCCCCTCCTCCATTTCCTGTACCGTTCCTCCCCATCAACTCAGCTTCACTGTCTCCACCATTGACTCCATTAAGAATCAACCCTCCATTTTCTGCTGGGATGACCCAGTTGCCTATGAGGGAGACTTCCAGCCAGCTCTGCCCTTCGAGCGTCACCTTCACTGTATTCCTGGCTGGGCTCAGTCCAGGTCACACAGCACCCAGCAGGCTGGCTACGGGCCTTCCCAGCACTGATGGAAACCACAGCCCTGGCTCTTCCCACGCCACCACCTTCCTTCTGCTTTCCGACTCCCATTTGTTGGCGTCCTCTCTTTACCTGTTATTTTTATCTTTGTGATTTATGCCTAGTTAAGGAAATTAATAAGGTCCTAGGCTGGAGAGATGCCTTAACAATTAAGAGCACTTGTTCTTGCAGAGGACCTGGGTTCAATCCCCAGCACCACCCACATGGCAGCCTAGAGCTCTCTGGACCTCTAGTTCCAGGAAATCCAGCACCCTCTTCTGGCCTCTGTGGACACCAGGCACACACAGAGGGCACAGACATATCTGCAGGCAAAACACTCATACCATAAACATAAAATAATTAATCATTAATAAGACCCCTTGTTGTTTTAGCGGCATTTCTGGAGGAAGGGGAGATAAATAATGAGTTGAATCCAGGGTTCAATGAGAAGTCTGTCTTGTTAGTATGGAGACAGCAGTATGTCTGGTAGCGGAACTCCTGGAGGAGACTTCCTCTATTGTGCTGACTCACTGGTAACCCCTGCTAGAGTTCATGGTAGAGGTGAAGGCTTTGAGTTTTCTGCATGTCTTCACAGTACCTTTTTTTCCCATGCAGGTAAAATAGTGAGGGACTTACCGGTCATTTTTCAGTGGGGTGACCCAAATGGCAGGGCCCTCCCAGGACCCACGGAAGTCTACCCTAGACTAGGTATTGACTGCTCCTCTGTGACTCTTTCTCTTTGCTGACATCACCGTTGATCTCTCACCAATCCCCAATCCTACTTGCAGGACGATGAGAGCCTGAAGCACCTCACACACGAGGAGAAGGACGTCATCCTGTTCTTCGAAGAGACTCTCGACTCCCTGGACTATGACTTTGACGAGCCGGCCCTGTGCGACAGTGGCATTCATTGCCACTCTCCACAGTCTCTGGAAGAGAGCCCTTCCAGTCACTCGGACCCTGAAGATGTCATCGATTTAGTGCAGCCAGGACCTGTGCCTGGGGAAGCTGAGAGCCTTGCCGATGTGCCTCAAGTAGCAGGTACACAGGTCCCCGGCCTTTGACCTGGCTTGGTGGTGCCCCCGAGGCACACCAGCACTTCCCGCTCTTGGCCTATGCTTGTCAGTACAGACGCTCTTGCAGCTTTTCAGCTTCTAGAAGGGGGAATCATCCTCTTGGTAGTCTCTCCAGCAAGGGAACTCCAAAAAGACAGAACGAAGAAGACCAACTGAAAGGAGAGAGGGAGGGAGGGAGGAGAGACCAAATGAACATACAGGGGTGTGTGTGTGTGTGTGTGTGTGTGTGTGTGTGTGTGTGTGTGTGTGTGTGTGTGTTTAGGTGTCGCGGGGCTCTTGATTTGTGCTGCAAGGTTATGTCCCATTTCTAACACATGGCTCTGTGAGGTAGAAAGACAGAGAAGGACAGGCCAGCACCTGCTCTGTACACTCTGCATCATGAGCAGCACCAATGAGGAGGCAGGTATGCTGAGGCCCATTGAGTCATGGGATAGGACCGGAAGGAAATGGTCAGTGAAAAGTTTCTTACAGCCTTCATTTGCTGACAGGAAATGATATTAAAAAACGGAGGCACCTAGGACTAGACAGGAGAAGAAAGAAATAAGAAAACATTTGTGCCCCGCAGACTGTAAAGACTGGTGTTTGTCATAAGCTTCTGGGAGTGGGGGCGCGTCTTTCTTTGTGAGACAGGATCCCCAGCTGTCCTGGAACTTGCTGGGTATCGCAGCCTGACCTCAGACTCTGCCCTCTGGTCTCTGCCTCTCAAGCGCTGGGATGACAGTGTATACACCACTCTCTGCTTGTGTATGCTTCCTTTTGAAGCAAAATGCATTACTCAGAATTGACCTCCTGCAGTCATGGGTTCCATACAAAAAGAGAATGGTTTGCAGCCAACCCTTGAGAGAAGAGACAATAAATTTTGCATTTTTTTTTTTTTTACACTTCTGCTTTGAACCATAGTTCCTAAAGTAATTTGAACCAGCTGATCCTTTAAAAAGATTAGATCACATAGTCACGCCACAGAAAATGGGTTTGGAAAATTCAGCACTTGTACCCAGCGATTCTCTAACCCCCTCTTTTCATATCTTTTTGTTTTTTGAGACAGGGTCTCTTTATGTAGTCTTGGTTGTCCTGGAATTCACTGTGTAAACCAGGCTGGCCTTGAACTCACAGAGATCCACCTTCCCTACCTCCTGAGCGCTGGGATTCAAGGTGGGCACCCTCATCCTTCACTCGGGGTCTCGTAAAGACCCCTGATGAGGTGGCCATTGCTTGCCTCCTGTCACATGACCCCCCGGTGGTGGGGCTCAGAAGCAGACCTTTCCAGACGGCTTCCTAACTGGCTGTTTCTGGCTCTAGATCTTGACCACCCTTCCAGAAATCTGTTGTTTCTCAGAGTATGGCCCTGAGAATAAATGGACTGCGTTCTTTCACCAGTCTAGGCCGCAGGACCAGCATTTTGATTAGGCATTATAGAGGTTGGTAGTGCGTCCCACAGTGACCCTCTGAAGTTCAGTGGGCAGGAACACCACGTGTCTGCTTTTATTGGTGTGAAAACTTACATGAGACCTCTCTTCTTTCAGGGGCCCCATCTGATACAAAGCAGGGCACTCCTGTTCCTGAAGGTGGGAAACAAGCCGCTGAGAATTCCCTGCCACCACCAGACTCCAGGGATCCCGAGGTGTTCCCCCTGCCACCCTCCTCGCCTGTCTCTGCGCCCTCTGCCCCCCGAAAGGAGCTGATGCCCCCCTCTCCTCCAGCAGAGCATCCCAAACTGCCGCGCTCCGTGCCCACACCCCTGGTGATTGCTCAGAAAATTTCTGAGAAGCTGGCGGGAAACGAAGCCCTGTCCCCCACGTCCCCATCGAAGGAGGGCAGGCCTGGGGAATGGAGGACGCCGACTTTGATAGCCTCTCGAAATGGGGACCAGGTCGGCGTGTGGCACCGACACACGGCCCAGCCGGCGCCCAAGGTCCACCGCTTCCCCAGCAACATAAGCGTGACCAACAGCGCGGGCAAGGACTTCAACAAGACTATCTCCAAGGCGGCCGTCAACGTGCAGGAGCGGAAGGCCCAGGTCCTGGCCAACATCAATGGCATGTCCTTCATCGCTGCGGGCGACACGTCGTCGGAAGAGCGGTGGCAGAAGGCGGAGGAGCAGAGGGGCGGCTCTGCGGACGGGGGGCGCGCCCAGGGCAGGGTGGGCATGGCCGGGGAGCCTGGGGGGCCGCGTGCAGGAGGCCCAGCCAGGGCGCAGCAGTCCCGGGCTGTGCAGACCGAGCAGCCGCCGCCGCCGCCGGTGGCACTGGCCAACGGCTTCCAGAGCGTGCATGAGGCTCTACGCAGCGAGCCCAGCGCCTTCGCCCCCACCAGCAAGACCATCACCTTCCGGCCAGACCCCGCTGCAGCGGGCAAGCTGGCGCGCCAGAACGCCAGCCGCAGCCTGTACGAACCTCGCCTGGATGGTCCCCAGGACGCCCGCAAGCGCACAGGCTCGCTCCCCCGGGCTGTGGGCTTCCGGCCACAGGGCATCACGGTGCAGTTCTCCGGCCGCGGCTCCACCGAGGAAGCGCGACGTGAGGCCCTGCGCAAGCTCGGGCTGCTGAAGGAGAACTTGTGAGACAGCCACGGGTGGGACTATCGGAGTGGCTGGGTAGACCTGGTATGCTGGCACTGGGTGTCGTCCCGTTCTGTAAGCACAGGAGCCGGACTGCACGAAGTGTTGCATGTTTCAGGCAAGAAGCCTCTGCCCCAACCCCTGTCCAGTGCAGCGCGGAGTCAGAGGCCAGTGGAGCAAGGACCAGGCTCCCGAGCAGTCCTCTTCCTTTGCTGGGGTCACGGAATAACCTTTAGGACCTGTGGGTTTCCATGGCTGCAGATGATCTATGGCTTATATATGTGAGGACGGCCTTGGCTTGACTTGGTCCAGGATCTCTGATCTGGCCTTTTATCCCACACGCAGGACTTGAAAGCCAGTGTAGTAGTAGCAACTCTGACGCTCAGGATTCCCCCGCCTCCTCGAAAATTAAAAAGAATGCTTGTTAAATTTTTACAGTGTCAATATACACTTTGAAGTCTAGTTGTTTGTGTGTTTGTTTTTGAAGGATGGGAGATGGTACTTTACCAATCTGGGTTTTTTTTTTTCTTGACATAATTTGGTTTGCCCCATTTTCTTAACTGAAAATCTAAACGAACCGTTTAGAGTAAGGTTTACTGTAACTTTGAATTGTGAGGGTAAAACAGGAGATCGAGTTTGGAAAAGGAAAGCAAGTCTCATGCTTCTCTAACATCTGCTCCTGGGATGTGTATGGGTCTGTTGTGTATAAATATATGTACCTATGCTAACGTATACATGAGTATCGTGTGTCTGTGTATGCACATTTATTAGTACATAAGTATCTGCTTCTGAAGACACCATTATCTAACTACAGGATGTGAACACTTCCTTTCCTCTCACAGACACCTCAGCATTGTGATGAGGCACTAAGAATTCTTCCTATTATGGAAGTTGGCTAAGAACACGTGAACCCCAAGTACCTTTTCCTCAACAGTATGTTCTGTTCCCAATTAAAGTACTATTTCCTGCTTTCAAATAAGCAAGATAGTTCCTGTTTTTACTTAAGAACTTTTTTTTTTTTCATTTAAAGAAAAATTAAAATCTTTGTCACTTCACTAGTTTTGGGTTGCAAGGTAGCTGGTCGACAGAAGGAAACCGTCTGGTTGGTTATGTGCCGTGAGCAGCATCTCGGGACTCATTTGAAGGAGAAAACTGTGAACTCAGTTAATGCAGCATGAAGTTCCCTTCTCTCCCAGACTTTGTCTTGCAGAGTTGTGGCCACAAGTGTTATTATCAAAACTATTTAAGGCTGGCGTCTCAAACCTCTAAAAATAGACGGGGAAGGGCTGGCCTGAGAGACACACCCACAGGTCCTCAGCTGCTGGTTACAGAGCCCCTTTCTTTTCCAGTTGAGAGTTACTGAGACTCAGACTTCTAAATGGGCTGCCGAAGGCCGTGTTCACGGGACTCTACTTACCTTGTAAGTTAAAGAAAATGAACAATTAGGCTTTATTTCCTCAGAACCATGGTCTAGCAACTCACCCCACTCTTCTTCTCCTGAAGTTATCTCGGACATTTTTTCATCTTAATTTAAATAAGGGCTTTAAACTTTCAAAAGTACTTTTAATTTTGCTCCTACTTATGATGGATTTGCTGACCAGAGCCAGGAGGTTTTTCTTTGACAAAGTGAGATGCCATACACAGTGTTTAATAATTGAAGGTCTTAATACAGCTGTTACAAATATTCTTTATAGAGGATTTTCCTATGACTTTATTGTGAATAGAATGAGTTTAACGGTATATTAATATATTCTTGTAATGACATTTTTGAAAAACACACTTTTATCTTACCTATAAACAACTGTATTACATTATGCACTATATTATTTCCTTTTAAAGGTTATTGCTTTTTCTCCTATTTATTCATGTTTTCTTTCTATTTAATCCACAATTATATTGACTGTTACTTTGTTTCGTGTGTCCAAAGCCCTAATGATTAAAGCCCCATTTTTGTGAGTGTTGAGGGCCCTGCTGTGTGTCTTGTCTGCTGAAAAGCATTAGTTTCCTTGTAGTAGTTACATGATGTGACATTCTTAATTGACGTCTAGTTCCCAGCGTTGAAGGACCATATTTCAAAGCAAGAGTGTAATAAAAAGGAAAGGTAGATCCGAAGTTCCCAGTTTCTCCTCAGGTGACATTTATAAACAGCTCTTTATTTTTAGGAAACTCTATCATACTATGTAAAAGTCAGAAAAAAAAAATTTCTCCTTTTCTTTACTAAACGGTTCTTTACACAGAAGTCCAAACTATAGTCTCGCTGCCACAGACAGCCCTGCCCAGCAGTCCCAAGAGAAACGTCGGCTCCAGTTCTTGCCTCCTCTCTACACCCACACCCTACCAAGTGTGCACGCTCATCTTCACAAAATGGGCCGAACCTTGGATCTTCACAGCCTTCCTAAGGTTGCATCCTCTTGTAACGCTGCATGAGGAGAAAAGAAGAGTCAGACTACAGGATGCTACCCAGCAGACATGCCGAGGTCCCTGCTGTGCACAGCGGCTGATCATGAAGCCCTCGGCAATCAGGGGGGGCGTACAGGCAGGGCTGCAGGAGCAGATTTCTGACGGAGACTTCTTTGCACACACTGCTAGTGGGTAGGACCCCATTGGGAGCACGCTTTCATGAGGAGCTTGGTGGAGTTGATCCATGAGGCCTATGAAACCCTAGTATCAATTCAAAACAAAGCAAACCTAAGAGAAGGACATTCTTCCCAAACCCCCAGGGCTTTGGCCATGGGGATCAGACCTTTCCCAGGATTTAGTGGCAGCTTTTTTTATGCAGGTGATATCAGCTCTTTAATATGTACTAAAGAGGAAGAAAGAGAAGATAAATATGACAACAATTTGCTCTTATCAAAAAAAATGTGTGTCTGCTACACAGCTGTTTTCCTAGCTGATACATGTACAATGAAGGCATTGTTTCTCTCTGGCTACTTGATTGACGTGACCTGGCAAGGTTAATAAACTTAGTTTTGCCCTAAACTGTGTTCTCAAACCTGTGTCATCCAATCGTGGCGCAGGCTGGATGAGCAGTAGCCTTGCTCCTCTGGGTCCCTTGTCCTCACCCTGGTCTCCAGCCAAGGCTCCTGGATGGAAGGAGGAAGGGGGGGGGGGCTGTGAATGTTCACCTGGAGAGGTTTCTGTTCTCTCTAAAGTGACAAGTCACCAAACAGGTTTTGTGTCTTCTCTTCACCAGGCTTTCTCCCCTTGGCTTTAAAGTATGGGGACACATCCCCATATCCTTTTCTAATCTACTCGTCGGACAAGCCAGGCTTTCACATACCTGAGAAAAGAGAAGCCAGGGCTGTAAGCTGCTGTGTCCTGGGAATGTTGCAGCTCTTTGTGACTGAGTTTGAAATGGAGGCCCAGTTGGAACCCCAGTTCAGCTGCTGGCCTCCCAGTCACCCCCTTCTCACCAGAACCACCTGCTTTCCCTGGGCATCAAAGGCCAAGGGCGGTGGCGGGGGAGGGGGGGGGGTGAAGCAGCACTGGGAATCTGCCTCTGGAGACCCCTAGAGCCATCACATACTTTTCAGCAAAGAAGGAATTAGCCTTTGTGACTGACAGCTGAAGTGCTTTTAAAGGTGCCTTGATTCAGGATACAGCAAAACTGTCCTCCGCGGTCCTGTCTCCTGAGACTTCCGGCTGGACATGGTGGTACAGCGCTGCATTAGCCCCACTCGGGAGGTGGAGGCAGGCAGCTGAGTTTAAGAAGGTCATCCTCAGCTACAAAGCAAGTTTGTGATCTTCATGAGACTCAGGCTCCCAAGACAGCAAGACTTCAGAACTGTCCATCACCCCAGTGACAGCAGGCTCAACACTCCCTCCTGGTGACTGCCCTGGGAGGGGTGGGGGGGGGCAGCCACCAACAACCCCCCAGGAACAGAAACTATTTCCTTTATAGTCTTCCTCCTTGTCCTCTGAACTACATGAACTTTCTGTTGTGCAACTATTAAAGGAGGAAGGAGGCATAGTGAGGACTTCCAGAAAAGTCTGTGCGACCTACCAGATATCCTCCAGCTTCGAGGAGCAGAGCAGCTCAGTGTCATGTGTCTCAGAAGTTTCTTACCAGTCCCCTGAGTGGTCTGCCCTGGGTCCTCACCCAGGCTCCATTGCTTTAAGGTATCCTGGAATCTAGACCAAGGCAGATTAGGAGGGGGTCTTCGTGTATGTTTAATATAGGCTCAAATCCCAAGCCTACCTTAAAACCCTCAGAACCATCTATTTCCTCACTGGGGCCATACTCCGGAGCTTCTGGAGCATTTGGAAGGGGAAACTCCAAGCTATAGACTAGCCACTCTTAGGTTCAGGACTCCAATCCCCGCTGGCAGGCTGTAACCTTCCTGCTGTAGTCATGGGTGAAAATTCACAGTTGAAAGCTGAACCTAATGGAACCTAGTCCCTGACAAACAGGTCACACTTCATAAACTCTTAACTTCTGAGGATGTGTGTGCGGCAAAGCTGCCGAGGGCACTAGCCAAAATTCTGGAAATACTTTCAAAGGGTGAGGCTGAATGAACAAGAAACCCTAAGCCAGGGAGTTGGCTTGTGTGCCTGTGTGTGCGCACAAGCACGTGTGTGGATGCGTACGCTCTTCTAGAGCGATCAGGCTGACGTCAGCCCTTGGCATCTCTGATTTGTGCTCATTAGGTGAGTTTATCGGCCTTGAGTGTTGCCGCATACAGACAGCTAGAGGCCTGACCTTGTTACTGATGATGCTTCTAGGTCTCTGTGGCCTTTGGGAAATGAATTAAAGCCCTTGGTACCTCTGACATCAGGTTGCTTGTAGGATGTAGGCTGCTGTGATAGCAAGTTTCAAAGATCTGGTCTGCTTCCATCTCATTCTATTGCCCAACAGTTTCCTGGCCCATAAAACTAGGTAGACTTTGTCCATTCGTTTCTTTGTTTGTTGTCTACTTGTTTGGTGTGTGAGCATTTCAGTTGGGGGAAGATGGCCTCTGCTTTGTGAGGCGGAATGGAAAAAGGCGTGTGGAGCCCAGGACACTGTGTCAACTGGAGTACCTCCTGCTTATCTCTTGTCTTATGTGTAAAGCCTTTCAGACCAGGTCCCTCCCCCAGGACCTCCTACTGACACGTTCCACCCAAAAATACTCTAGCTGCCCTAACTGCTGGACGCTGCCCCCACCCTACAGAGTCAAAAGCCCAATCTCTAGCCATGAAATCCCACCAATCTCTACCCTGAAAAGTTCCACCCCCTTCCCATGAAGCTGTATAACAAGCCCTGTATCCTGTTCAGTTTGCTGCTGCTTCTCGCCCAAGCAAAGGCAGCCATCCTCCTGATTCTTTCCCTCCCAATAAATCTCTTGTGTGAGGTTTGTTGTGCGGTGTGACTTTGTGGTATTCCTTGGTTCCTGGCTGCCAGGATACCTTTCCATCCAAACTGTAATGCTTACATTATAAATTTAGCCATATTCTTTTACGTTCATATCTATATATTTCTGAGGCTTTCTGTAAGGTTATTTTTCAGTGTACTCCTGTGTGTGTGTGTGTGTGTGTGTGTGTGTGTGTGTGTGTGTGTACGTACTATATGTGTTTGTATGCACCTGGGGGTGGCAGAGGAAGGTATTGGTTTTCCTATCACCCTTATCCACCTTATTCCCTTGATAGGGGGTCTCTGGATCTCTCATTGACCTTGGAGCTTACTGTTTTCAGCTAGACTGGCTAGCCAGCAAGCCCAATGAATCTTTCTGTCTACTCCGCCCCGCTCTGGCCCCTGATTCCCACTGCTGGTGTTTTAGGCACATAAAACCATGTTTGACTTTTTGTGTGGATTCTGGAGATCTGAACTCAGTTCCTGATGCTTGAGTAGCAAGCACTGCTCCCCAGCAAGCCACCATCACCCACGGGCTCTCCTCAAACTTTCAGTTTTCCTCTGTGCCCCTCCAGAGTGCTGGGATTGCAGGTGTGTGCCACCACATCTGGATCCTCAGTTCACTCCCAAAGAGTAGAATTAAAATGTGTATGATTGTCAAACAGTCAGTGGGAGAGTCCATAACTAAAGAATATTATTTGATGTTTGTTTGTTGTTTATCGAGACAGGGTCTCACTATGTAGCCTAGGCTGACCTCACACTCCTTCCTCAGTCTCTGGAGTAGCTTGGGTTATAGGGATACATCATCAGGCTCGACTTAAAACTTGTTTTCTTAATCTCTAAAGCTTGGGAGGTAAACCACTAGGTGCCAAATTATATCCATTTCTTTTATTCAGCAAAGCCTTGTGTCTCTTCCATAGGGTGGGCATTGAGTGGTGATAAATACCTTTTTTAGTCCTGTGACTGCCTGCCATGGGGAGGGGTGTGTGCAGTGGCCACTCACAGAGAGGTTCCGCTCCACCAGGTCCTCCTGGGGCCACTATTTCCACTGCCCTGGTCCCGGGGCAGCAGTTGCCTGCGCCCCAAACCTCTATTGATGCTCAAGCCAGACCAGGCCGGTTCCTCCTAGCCTTCTCTTCTCCTAGGTGTGGAGCTGTCTGTACCTCACCAGGTCACCAAGGGGAGGGTGTGTGCATCCCATCTAGTGTCTTTCTACAGAGCTTGTCTCATCTCCGGGGAGTCACTTCCTGTTCTCTGCCAGATTCGGCGTTCTGGTCCTCGTACCAGCAGACCAGGGGGCGCTTTTCATTTTGAATGAGATGAGCCTGGGTCATCTTGAATCAGGGCCTGGAGCCTGCATAGCTGAGTCTTTAGGGAGAAGGAAGGCAGTGTGCCAGGCCCTGCAGCTAGGGCAGGAGCCTCTGACCTCTGATTTGGAAGAACCACGTCAAGGGAAGGTCTTTGTTCCCTGTTTCCATCCCTTCCCCCGGGGCCTTGATTGGAAACTCAGAATTGCCCTTTGCACAGGGCTCCTAACTAGTTAGATGGGTTGCCCAGTTGCCCCCTGAAGTCCTTAGAAGTCACAGCAGTTACTGGAAAGATGGGGAGGCCTCAGTGTGGGCTCTAGCCAGGGCTGCAGGTTCCAAGAGGACAAGGGTGAGAAGGTGCATGGACCCCAGGTATCTAGCCCCACTGTGCAAACTCCGGGTCCTCTAACCATCTTGGCACAGACAATGACAATCCGCCAGTGTCTGTAAATGGTGTTGCTGACATGTCTACCCCATTCTGCTGGGATGTGCCTGCATCAAAGCACATAGTGTTTCCTGCCTTGGGAGGCTCTACCCTTTGCATAAGCTTGTTGCTATTTTTGTACATTTTTTCTGGCAATAACTACCTTCTGTGCCTTTAGGCCAGATTGTAAAAAGAACACCTCACCGTTTCCTTTTAAGTTTTTTTTTTCCTCAGTTCAGTCATCCACCTCCTACAGTCTTAATTCTAGGAATGATTTACTACTTCTGAAAATGAGATCCAGCCAGGGGTGTGGGCACACCTCTGCAATCCCAGCACTTGGGAGGTGGAGGCAGAAGGATCAGGAGTCCAAGGTGATTCTGGGCTAAATAGTGAATCTGAGGCCAGCCTGGGCTACATGAGACTTTACAAAAACAAACAAATTCGTGCCATGTGATCTCAAAATTTTGGGCCCCTGGATTTCTGATTTCACATAGTATCCTACAGCATGTTAGTGAGGAGGAAAGAGGTATTGAAAGGACTAAGCACCTTGAACCTAAATATGGAGAGGGTCTAAAAGGGCCCTGAGGGCTGGTGTGAACCGGGTAGCTGTTAGACTGGTCGGAGGGGGAAGGGCTTCCACCCACGTGGAGGATCACCTGCCTCTGAGTCCCCAGCCTGTGGCTGCTTACTATGGGACTGACCCTTGGAGCTCCAAGGGGGTTGATCGGGATGAGCCATACTTAGTCCTCAGGGTCATCGAAGGGCCTGAGTGGGATCATAGGCTTAGTACATGACTGGCTCACACCTCCATCATCATCACAGCTATTGTCCACACCACGGTGACAGCAGGGAAGTCCCTCATGGACCTGGGGTCCTGAAGCAAGACCTGGAGTGATGGCTGCGGCAGGGTATTGCCCTCCGGTGTTCCACAGAGGTCCCCACCCAGCACGCAGCCTGTGGGTCCTGGCTTCCTGCTTGGAGACACACCAACTGGTTTTAGATTCTGTTCCACAGAGAACTGAGCTGCAGGGCTTGCCCACTTTCTAAAAATATGTGTCCAGAGTTTATTTTCCTTCTCTGGGGCTGGGTTTGTCTGGCTTCCTGCTCAGAAGCCCAACACTGGATAAAGCCACGCATCTGAGCTCACACTTCACAACTCTTAGCCTGTGGAGGATACGACACTCTTCCCAGAGCCTCCCTTCTGGGTCTCCTCCCTAGAGGCAATGCCAGCCCAGCTCTGCCAGAACACTGGAGCACTGTGTGGCCAGCATTGGCTCTCATATGTGTCCCTCATACACCATTTTCTTACTATGAAGACCAGGCTAGCCTGGACCTCAGATATCTACCTGCCTCTCCTCCTGAGTGCTGAGATTAAAGGCATGCACCACCATGCCTGGCAGAGTCTGGAGTTTTAGAGGCCCTTTGTGAGACTGTGATGCATGGCCAGAAAACAGAAGGAGTATTCCCCTGCCAAGGTGCACAGTGGGAGAAGTACCCTAAGGTGCAGAATGGGTGCTGGACTACAGCATCTTTGAGGTGGGGGCCACATTACACTTACCTCTGCAGCTACGGTGTACCTGATGCGGCATCTGGCAGATAAAAACCAGCTATTAAATTGAATAATTGTGATCGAAGAAGAGCAGCTCAGACCTTACAGTAAGCGTCTGTTACTCCCTGAGCAGAAATAGTCTGGCTCGGAGGACAGAGACACAGGGAGAGAGATGTACAGACAGACAGAGTAGACAGCGGGCTGAGGCCGTTGTGAAGACACCAGAGGGAGATGACCAGTGGAGACTCCCTCCTCTGACAAGGGCCAGGCTATGGTTCCTGCATCTTCCACACGTGGCCTCTGGGTTTACCTTGAATGGACCAAAAGGTGAAGTGTTAGTTGTGGCCAGCCCTTCATGGATTCATCCTCCTAGCATTTCCGCCCTACTATGTGCTGTTCTGGGAGCTGAGCAGGCCATCAGGCTGCATCCTCCCCAGGCCTACAGCCCAGGTGCGGGGAGGGAGGACAGACAGGCTGATTTTGAGGTGTGGCCATTCTGCAAAAGGGGAATTATGGGAACTCCAGAAGTGAGGGCAGGGGAGATGGTCAAGCTGATGCCTGAAGGACAAGCCAGAGCTAATGGGACCAAAAGTCAGGCAGGGTGTGCTCAGGCCGAGGGGACAGCACTGGAGAAGACCCAGAGCAGGTCAGGAAGAGGAGGGTGTGTGAGGGACAGTGGCCTGTACTGTCACTGGACAACACTGCCCCTGAGTGAGGCAGGGCCTATGGGAAGAGCCATGGTCCGTGTCTACGCAGGCCTTACAACCCAGTTCAACAAACAGCACCATTCTGTACTCTGGGGACACAGTGAAATAGAAGCAAAAAAAGGTGGGGGGGGGGCGCAGGGGGAGTTCTTGTTCTTGAACTTGTTATTCTAGTGTTGAAGACTGAAAATATTGTGGGGGGAGGGGGGCGCTAGGGCCAAGACATAGCTGGAATTCCTGAAGGGACAGGTGGGTGGGGCCCAGGTGTAGAAGGGCTGTGTCGTCACAGGTAATTAGGAGTTGGGGATGTGCCGAGTCAACTCTCAAGTCACCTGGAACTCTCTGACCTCAACCTGATGGTTTCAACATCCCTGCTTGCGGTCGAAGAAAGGGAAAATGTCCAAGCTTCCTGGGAGGAGCAAAACACAACAGATACTACCCATGTTATGCGACGCCGTGCCGAACCAGCTCCACCGTGCCGAACCAGCTCCACCGTGCCAAACCAGCTCCACCGTGCCGTACCAGCTCCACCGTGCCGAACCAGCTCTACCGTGCCGTATCAGCTCCACCGTGCCGTATCAGCTCCACCGAGCTGTACCAGCTCCACCATGCAGCAGCCATTGTACGCCCCCAGGCTATTCTCACTCTGCTCCACCATGGTGCAACACTGCTTAGCAAATGTTTTCAGAACCGAGTCAAGGTTTACGCAGCTGAGACCAAGGAGCCCCATTTGCTGGGTTCGGCACGTGGGGTCTCAGTCTCCTGGTACGAGTGCTAGTTCTAAAACTGGTTCTCTGTCCTTCCAGTTCCCACACGGCATCCAGGCAAATGGTGAATGGCAGGCAGGGAGGGGCCTGCGGATCAGGCTAATAACACTTAATGGAAGATGGAGCCTCAGATCCAGACCGCAGCCGCACAGGCTGATCCTCTAATGACAGAGGACGTCGGACGGGTTGGCCGCCTTCAGAGGCGTCATCACAGGAGAGCCCTGATCAGATTGGCTCAAATGGGGCCTTGAACAAAACTTACCTTGGATTCACATTTTGTATTTTTGAACACCTTTTAAAAAAATTCATTTCCTTTTTAATTAGGCGTGTGTGCAGGTCTGTGTGCGCATGTGGGTTCAGATGCTTGCGGAGTCTACAAGAGCACCTTGGGTCCCTGGGAGCTGAAGCTACAGGCAGCTACGAGCAGCGGGCAGGGAAACAAACTCGGTCCTCCGCAAGAACCCACTCCTCACCACCCAGCCCAAACCTCCAGCCCCTCATTTGGTGTTTCTGAACAAGTGTGAAGGAGGAGGACATGCCTGGAGGTGGAAACTGGTCTATCTGTGAAAATAAAGATGCGCTTGGGCCTGGCCCTGACACGAACATGCTGTGCAGTCCAGCCCACTTTCCATCTCCCCAGGCCTCACGGGTTTAGCCAAGAGCAATTAGACACTGCTATGTTAAGAAACCCCTACAGTCTCAGTGGCTTAACAAAATGAAGTCTATTTTACTTACAGCCATCCTGTAGGTCTGGTGTTCCTTCCTCATCAGACTGGGGGGACCAGCCTATGGTTTGACTGTGTCCCCTCCAAATTCCAGTTTTTGTTATGTAAATAAAGAGCTCAGCCCTTTCTTGCTGGTTTTGGCACGTCTTCCTGCCATACAATACCAGAGAGAAGACCCTCACCAGACACAGCTTCCCCACCGTGGACTTCCTGACCTCAAAACTGTGAGCCAGTTTGAACTTTCCTTGTTTATAATTGACCAGGCAGTGGTATTCTGGAAGAGCAGCATGTGACAGACTACGACAGTGCCCACAGTGTCCCTGGAGCAGAGAAGGATGAGGCACAGAGAGCATCTAGCAGGCCCAGCCTGGCTGACATTTCTCCTCCTAACACCCGTTATGGAACCCGGTTCGCTGTTGCACCATCAGGTGTCAGGGGTCAGTGTGTCTCCCCAGGAAGAGTATGTGGAGAGCTGTGGAGAGCAGGGAGCAGGGGCTTCACGCACCCCTCCCCCACTGAATGCTTTCATTCATGTTCCTTTCTGGAATAAGCCGCAGGCAAAGTTACATGTTGGAGCCACTGATTCTTTGCTGTCCTCAAAAAGTCCAGTGAGTGACACACAGAGCCACAGCAGTTACAGTCCTGGTACAGGGGGTATGGCCTGGAGAGAGGGCAAGAGTGATTTAGCAATTGCTCCCCCCCCTCACCACCACCAAAACACATCTGTGGATGAATACACAGTTGTGTTTTTCTGGGGCCAAAGAGATGGCTCAGTGGTTGAGAGTACTGGCTGCTCTTGCAGAGGACCCAGGTTCAGTTCCCAGGACTCACTCAGTGGCTCACAATCACATGTAACTCCTCTTCCAGGGGTTCCAATGCCTTCTTCTGCAGTCCTTGGGTACCAGGCATGCATGTAGTACACATACATACATACATACGTGCAGGAAAAACATTCATACACATAAAATTTAAAAACACAAAACAAAAACCCCAAATATGTGTTTCTTATAAATTCTAATGGTATAAAGGAGAATAGACAATTTATAATGCTAAAATATATAATATCTTAACTGCAAATTCTATATACCCAGTGATTCATATATAACTTGTTCACTGATTTGTGTCAAACACATTCAGCCATGATTTGACAATAGACTTAGGTCTCGATTGATACCTTTAATTTTTCCATCAAATGTATTGTCCTTAAGGGGCTGGAGAGATGACTCAGTGGTTAGGAGCTTGGATAGCTTTTGCAGAGGACGTGAATTCAGTTCCCAGAACCCACATCAGGTGGCTCACAGCTGCCTGTAAGTCCAGCTCCCGAGAACTCTCATTTGAGGCCTTCACGGACACTTGGACACATGTCACAGACATACAGACACACAAATATTCATATCAATAAATCTCTAAAGATCTATCTGCTATGTAATCTTTACACAAATTGTATTTATTAAAAATTATATTTATGGGCTGGAGAGATGGCTAGGAAATTAAGAGCACTGCCTGCTCTTCCAGAGGTCCTGAGTTCAATTCCCAGCAACCACATGGTGGCTCACAGCCATCAATAATGAGATCTGGTGCCCTCTTCTGGTGTACAGGCATACTGTACACATAATAAATAAATAATAATAAAAATTATATTTATTAAGCAAGGTCTTAGTGAATTGGGTAATAGTTTTCAAACACTAGAAAAAAAGATTTCTTCTCTCTTGCATTCAGGTATAACGCATAGCTCACTCCATTTTCTTCCTTATCTCTTTCTCAAAGGTAGCCCCACCTACAAAGCAATAAATATATCAAGCTCTGATTTGTAGTATTTGTCTACTGCAAGGACTTACATACACCTACTCAGCTGGGCCAGCTTCCAGTGTGTGACATCACCGAGCTGAGTTGAGAAGAGGTGTGCAGCGGGAAACCACTGTGTGAGGGCCAGGCCAGAAGGGAGCTCAGGGCCAGGCCTTCGGGCTCTGTCTCCTACCGCTGAGGTATGATCATGTCTGCTGTGGTGGGTGAGGCCAGACCACTAACCTGGCAAAGCATTCCAGGACATCCATCCTGAAACTCGTCACCAGGCTTTCAGGGCTTGGCTAAATGAAGTGAAGAAGTTCTGGAACAGACTTTGCCTTTTCGGAATGAGAAGACGACAGAGTCTCCAGGATGCTATGTCTTATGGCATCATCAACTTTATAAGTAGAATGGAGAGGGAGTGTATCTGAGAGCTGCCGGGGGTTCAGACCAATTATCTGTACTTAACACACAGGTCAACCCTGAGAGGGATGCATCATGGAGGAAACTGAGGCAGGAGCACTTAGGATCCCACAGAGTCCTACAGCTAGTCAGGGCCAGAGCTGCGAACCCAGCCGTCCCACTCGTTGCTGTGACCCTGAGCTGCTGTGCCCCTCAGAGGGGCCTTGTCCTAGGCACGCTCTCTCCTTTCTGGGATGCGCTGGGCCTAGGACTCCTGTGGGTGAGAACATGAAGAAGGCAGGCCCAGGCGGTGGGGCTAGCAGCTTAGACGACTTGGGGATTTTTATTTTATAGAGAGAGTAGAGGCCAGGCATGGCACATGACTTTAATCCTAGCACTTGTGAGGCACAGGCAGGTGGGTTCAAGGCTAGCGTGATCTTCACAGAAAGTTCCAGGCCAGCCAGGGCTACACAGTGAGACCCTGTCTGAAAAGCAAAAACAAACAAACAAACAAACAACAACAACAAAACCAAACAGCAACAAAATGTAAAACTTACCTCAACCAGAGAGGGCTTCCTCAGGGTTTGCCTTCTATGTCTGTCTGTTTTCTCTGGAAAAGTGAAGCAACACCCTAGAGAGCCAGCTCAGGGGGTCTGAAGGAAAATTCCCAAATAGCTGGCCTCACTATCTCCTCCGTGCAGAGTGGGATGTGGCCCTTGGGTGTGCTGGGTGCAGGTTGCAGGTAGCAGGGGTGATTCAAGTGGGAAGGGCTGGCACACGCCTGCTTTTAGAAAGCAAGAAGAACCCGAGGGGAGATGGAAAGTCCCTGTGGGCAGGAAGCTGGTGGAGCAGGAGGAGGTAACCCACCCAGCCTCCAGCATGCAGCCTGAGGAGGAAGTAAGGGCCCATTGGGTACTATCACTAGCACGGAGTCACAAGTGACCCTCCAGAAAGCATCACTCCTGAAAGGCCATCTGAGGGAGGGATCACCCGGGGCTTTTGTGTTTCTTTTTTGTATGGGTGTGTGTGTGGGTGTGTGTGTGTGTGTGTGTGTGTGTGTGTGTGTGTGTGTGTGTTTGAGTCAGGGTCTTACTATGCAGCTCTGGCTGTCTTGGGACTCGCTATAGACCAGACTGGCCACAAACTTAGAGATCCACCTGCCTCCTGAGTGCTGGGATTAAAGGCATGTGTCATCCATCATGCTTAGCTGGGTTTATAAGTCTCAAAAATCACCAGCACCACTGACTAGAATATTCTCTGCCATTGGAGTAGCTCTTGGGTTGTTCTCTGGCCTTCTCCCTAATAAGTCTGCTCACAGGCCACAGGGCGAACCAGGCAAGGCGCAGGTCTGTCTGAGAGGAGGCCCCTGGGGTAGATGAAGGGCAACTCGGAGGAGGTGCCAGTTTCCAGCTGAAAGAGGTCCAGTGGCCCCGGTGGGGGAGGAGAAGGCTACTGGCGGTGGCAGGGGGGGGCGCACGGGGGGGGGTTGTGGTGGGAGAGAGTGTAAGGCCTAGTGGGGGAGGAGAGTAGACAGTATCCCCACAGAGGAGGCAAGGACAGAGGGTGTGACCAGATAAGTCAGGATCTGAAGGACCACGGAGCCAGTCTCTCTTATCAGGGGAGGGTTATAAGCATAGAAAGGAGAAGCCCAGAACGAACCTTTGCTCTTGGTCTGGAATTGGAGACACAGATGTGTTTTTGTTTTTGTTTTTGTTTTTTTTTTAAGATTTTTATTATGTATACAGAAGAGGGTGCCAGATGTCATTACAGATGATTGTAAGCCACCATGTGGGTGCTGGGAATTGAACTCAGGACCTCTGGAAGAGCAGTTGGTGCTCTTAATCTCCTAGCCATCTCTCCAGCCCTGGAGACACGGATGTGAACTCCAGTTTCAATCTACATCATCAAAGAGTGAGGAAGTATGGGCACGGATGTGTATCTGCAAGTCCAAGTGCAGAGACAGACCTGTGTGTCCTAGCTCAGTCTCCAAAGGCCTCGGGACAGTCACAACCTCATCTCCACAGGCTCACACAGCCGCTGCCTTCTGACGCTATTCATGCTCCACTGGGCAGAGAAGGCTCTACAGAGAGGAGGTGAGGCCAGAGCTGGGGCAGGGAAAGCAGAGGACACAGAAAATAATGTCGCTTGTGGTGCAAACCTGTGATCCCAGCACACGGAAGACAGGCAGGTGGATCTCTGTGAGATCAAGGCCAGTCTGGGGTGCCTGGTCCATACAGAGAGTTCCAGATCAACTGGGGCTACACAGTGAGACCTCATTAGAAGAAGAAGGAGGAGAGGAGGAGGAGGAGGAGGAGGAGGAGGAGGAGGAGGAGAAAGGTTTGAGTGATGGTGACATGCAGCACACAGAAGCTGGCTTGATGGGCTCCCCCTGACTAAACCTGACATCATTCGAGCATGAAATAGTGATAATCAACTATAGCCCATTACAACCCATTAAATAAAAAGGGAATCCATGTGAGGCCAAATGTACATTCATTATACTAGTCATAGTTACATTCATAAACATACTTATAATCATTAACTAGAATGATTTATTTGATGAGTAAAAGGATTTTTATGTAGTTTCAAAGTACCACTCCATAAAATACTTAACTAATTACAAAGGAAAAATAACTTTATATAGAAAAGTCTGGTAGACACTACCTCATTCAAGTGACCCAATTACATTAGGAATGGAGTAGACAGAAATCACGCCGTGAAACACAGTGTCTCTTCATACTGTTCCTTCCAGAGTTGAAACCTCCATTCAGTCCGCACACCAGAAAACAGAAAACTCCAGCTGGCTCAGAATACTCAAATGCTATCATCGTAAATTAATAAAAGATTAGAGACTCCCTGGCTGAAGGGAGATCAAAGACAGTCAAATACCACACATTTCTGCTCTGGATCCTTCTGCTTATGTGAACGAAATGTCAAAGCTGTCAAGTCCAAAATGGTGTTGTCTGTGTCAACCTTAACAATCAGAGAAGGACATGAAGCTGGAAGTTTATGGGCTGGGAGGACGGCTCAGTGGGTAAAGAGCTGCAATACAAGCACAAAGACCTGAGTTCGGATCCTCAGCACTCACATAAAAAAGCAGGGCAAGCCCAGCACCAGGGAAGTAGAAATGGGCGGATCCTTGCTCGTCAGCCTCCCTGAATCAGTGAGCTCCAGATGCAGTGAGAGAGCCTGCCCCCAAAATAAGATAGAGAATGATTGAGATAGACAGCTGACATGGACTTGGGTGCACACACACACACACACACACACACACACACACACACACACACACTGGGGGTTTATGAATGAAAGGGTATTTACAAAACCTACTTCTGTTAGTTCAAGATCTGCCGAGGAAAATGCCTGTCTAACCTTAGACTGACAGCACTCTGGTAATGAAAACATCTGGCGCAATCCTCCCCATTCTACATTTACAAATGTCCCCTAGCTTTAGTCTCCTCCAGCATGCCACAGTTCCGAAGGTGTACATAGTCCCACA